ACTTTTTGCGACATCGTCGTTGGCAGCCCTGGTCCGTAAATTAAGTTTTATCAAGAAGTAGAATGAAATAAAGAAAAATTATATATAAAAAAGATAAAGAATAATTTATATCGAGCTGCAGCAGAYCGTAATATTATATTATAATATATATGTATATTATATATAAACGTACAGGATTGTGTCGTGGCCTTGTTTATTTTACTGGTGACCTTTTTGTTGAGGGTTTCGGCTGTGTGGAAATTTACAAAATCACACACCGTTCAAAACTGCTAGAAATTATATATGTATATATTTTAGTGTTAGTGTATTCACTGAACGAGCGTCTTTTGCGTAACAATTTTTTTACCACCCCAAAAAGTTTTCGTCTGCAAAGACGCCACTACTACAACGGGGGTGACGTCGCCCGCTCGAACCAAAACGTTATATTATATATTATTTTATTTTATTTTTTATTTTCGTATTCTCTCGTTGTCTGTGCATTGCAAATCGGCATCGAGGTCGTCTTCGTCATATACACATACTATTGTACACGTGTATGTGGTTTTTCTATACTATACACAATGTATACCTACGTATTTCTTTCTGTCGCAGCATTTTCGTTGACGCCATTTTAATGTATAGTATGACGCATTATTTTTATTGCAAAAACAATACWGTTTTTGAAAATATTGTTGTTTTTTCGTAATATGATTAAATTGTACAACACGACGTCGTTTTTGAAAAATAATTAAATTGTTTACTCTTTCGAGGGAATATATACATTTCAATATAAATGTTTATTWTCGTGTTTGATCGGGACTACAGTACTTTTTTAGATACCTAACGTATATAGCAATAATAGAATTTATTTTACAAAAACGTGAAACATTGAAATTTTTTTACACAAATATTCATGATACTTATTTTATCAATTATTAATTATATGATCAATGAATATTAGGTTTAATCATTGATATTAAGTTTAATGCAATGAGTGCCACGGTGTTGACATATATTACTAAATAAAGTTTTTTCCGACTATTTACAGCAACACATGATTTTTTCTCGGGAAATGGCTTATCGTCAAAATAAAACTTCTTTGAAAAAAAAAATATTGAAGTAGGTACTTAAATATTTCACAATTATATATTCCATAAACTGTTCAAATATTAGTTATAATAAAAAAGTTTTTATTGAAAAATGAGCAGAATAATAAACCAACATTTTAACTTTAAATTCACATTTATAACTCATAAACTATACTCGTCCAAAATTTAATTGTGTCATACATGCATCAAATTACTCCATAAAATATTCT